GTTGGTTCTGTATCACGGCAATTATGTCGTGGTGTGTTGAAGAGAAACTGATCGCGCAAAGTGCACTGAATGCATTTTCTTTACGGGGGTCGTCTGTTTGTGTAGTTTTTTTCGCCAGTGCGATTGCTATGCTATCGTCACGAATCCTATATGAGAGCTTCTCGATTGTGGAGCATGCTAGGAGACTAATCTTTTCATCTACGTCAGCTAGCATTCGTCTCAACGTGTTAAGTAGAAAATTTTTGCTTGCGAACTTTTCTATCTTGGTTATTGTTTCTGAAGCTGCCTTTCGTACTTTTAGATCACCCTTTTCCATGCATTTCACAACGGTTTTCATCAGGTGATCCGCTATTTTGTCTTCAGGTAGGCTGGAACAAGCGTGACAAGCTGCTATCTTCACTTGATTATGTTTGTCTTGCAGTGCTTTCTGTAGAGCAGCGGTGACTATTTCAGGATGTCCTTGTTTGATTGTATTTCCAATTCCTGTACAGGCAGCAGACCTTACTTCATGGTGTTCATCTTCGATTGCCGCTAGAAGTGCTTCTTGCATTGGTGTCACTTTTGGTTGCTGCTGAGTATAGCTAGACGAAGTAGAATTCTTCGCGATGCTAGCTAAAGCAGTGCATGCACTTCGTCGTACTTCAGGTTGTTCATGGTGCAATTCTTTGATCAGAAGGGTCTCTACCTTTTTGTTTAGTTCATGCTTCTCAGCAATGATAGCTAATGCAGTGCAAGCGAACTGCTTTACTTTGTATGAGTCATTTGCGAGACCAGCGATGAACTTTGTAATGTCCATCCTACTGTTAAATCTTGCACACATCAATCTCATGATTTTCTCAGGACTCGTCGGTGGCCTCTCTTCATCTTTCTCTTCATCTTTCTCTTCATCTTGGGCTAGAGCAGTTAGGAGAGAATCGACTACATTCGTAGTAGTATCTCCATTACTAATTTGTGCAAGAGACTCACAGGCACTGTCCTGCAAGTCAGGATGCCCATAGCATGCCAGCTGAATGAGCGCGTCAATGACATATTTAGTAGCTGCTTTGTTTCCCAGTATACTGAGAGCTTCGCAAGCACATTTTCTGGCGTCGGGAGTTTTGCCTTCATTTTTAACAGCTTTGACAAGTACTTGAATCATTGTGCAATTCACTGTTTCTTCACACATTTTTGAGACTGATTCCCATGCAAACGTCCTGATATTTTTATTTGGATCTCCAAGTTTTTCGACGATTTCTTCCAGCGCTTTTCTGTCTAGCGCTGTTTCACCCATTATTACAAGTGTCTGTCTCGCACCTTTTCTGACTAGCCAATCTTTGTCATAAAGTGCCGACATTAACGCCTTAATTACATCTGGACGGCACACTTCCTTCCTCAACAATCCAAATACCTTGCAGGTTCCACGTCTGATCACGTTGTTATCAAGATTCTTTATAAGCTCCAGTAACGTTGGTATCATTTCGTTGTAAGATTGTTTCTGGTCCATCTTCAAAAATGCATGCGTCGACGCCTGCCGCACTTGTTCAGTGTAATCTTGTGTTGCTTTCGCCAGGACTTCAATGATTTGTTTGTTAAGATAGTTTTCATCCATCATACCGAGGGTCTTGCATACGCTTTCTCGCACAACAGCACTGCGGTGTTCGGCGGCGTTTATCAATAAGCCCAAGATAACATCATTTTCTTGAGACATTTCCTTCGACAATTCACATGCCGCTTCTCTGATCGTCATCTTAGAATCTCCAAGAAGTGGTGTGATAGCTTCAAACACTTGCTCTCTGTTCACCTTCTTATGCAAGATCTTGAAGGTCTCACATATGGCATAGCGAACGTTGTGGTTACGATCATTGACAGCACTCGTTAGTACCTCAACGATGTTTTGAATCGCATTGGAATCATATTGTTTGCATATTACTTCGCAAACAGTCCTTCGAAAATCGGAATTTGGATATGCAATATATTGTTTAATACGGTCAATCGGTGATGTGACAGCTGGGCGCTGCAATTTATCTGCAACAGCTTTACAAGCAGTTTTCCGACCAAGTGAATCCGGATCGTTAATTAATTTTTCGAATAATTTCATCAGTTGTTCGGACACTGGCATTTTAGACACCTTCGCTAGTGCTTCACAGGCAGTTCGCCTCACAGAGTTGCTTCCTTCATTGGTGGCATCTAATAGAGCCTTAATAACCTTTTCGCTGCCTGTTTCTGCACAGGTCTTCCCAAGAGCTTTGCAAGCAGCATTGCGGACAGCAGACTCGGGATCTTGTGATGCCTTAATGATTGCTGTCATGACATCTTCTGAGGTAGTTCTGTGATCGACTTTCCCAAGAAGTTCACAAGCACTCTGTCTCACTCTTGCATCTTCATTGTTTATCTCTTTGAGAAATATTTGGATAAGATTTTCTGTCCCTGTAATATGACCGAGGCTCGCAAGTGCCTCGTACGCTCCCCGTCGAACTATGTAAGTCTTATCTTGAGTTGCCTGAGTGAGTGCTTCAATCATATTTTCAGTGGTTGCCCCCTCAAATACGTTGCCTAGAGCTAGACATGCGTCCCGTCGGACTTCGAAGTCTTGGTCTTTAGTTGCCTTGACGAGCCTTTTTAGTACATATGCTTTGGCTGCTCGTTCACCAAGTTTCTTGAAGGCTTGACAAGCTATTTGTCTGACATCAGCGTCTGCATTTTCAAGTGCTCTCACCAGAACTCCTATTATTTTTGTAGTATCCGCGCCGTCCATCATTGCGGAGACTTTTCGAAAGTCCGTTGTAAATTTTTCCCAGTTCCCGTATCCGTCGGCATTCGTCACAAGTCTAATCATGCTTTCAGCGCCTGCTCTTTCGCTTATCTTTCCGAGTGCCTGGCAAGCGATGCGGTTCACAGCGACGTCTGATGCGTCTGCTGCTTGAATCAGGATTTCGAGAATTTTCTCATTCTCAGGAGCATCACCTTGCCCAGAAACAGTAGGTTTGGCCTTCTCTCTGATATTAGAGTCTTGAGATGTGGTATCTTCGATGACTTTTTTAATGCCATACTCTTTGTCCGAATATTCAGTTGCTCTTGTAAGACACTCAATTAAATTTTTTATCGTTGTTGCCTCAGCAAATTTCCCTAGCCCTTCATATGCTGCACATCGTACAGCAGTATTATCTTTTGCAGTGGCTTTCATCAGTGCCTCAATGACATCTTGCATATCTCGTGACTTTTCCATGTAACCGAGCCTTTTGAATGCAATCTCGCTGATGGTAGTGCGTGTTTCTGTAGCAGATTTTACCAAAGTTCCAAAAAAGCTGGTGATATCTATTTCATTAGTTATTGGAATAGGATCTCGCTGTACTACTTGTGTAAACGAAAACGGTTTTTCTCCAGTAGCATTTATAAAGACTCTGACCAAATCTTTAATTGCTGCGCGCCTGCCTATTTTTCCAAGCATCCCACATGCGATCGTGCTTAGTGTGATATTTGATCCTTCAATTGCTTCACAAAGCTGCTTGATTACGCGGTCAGTGTCTGGAAAATCGGTCATCGCAAGGAGAGCTCCACACGCTTTTGAACGTTTCTCTTCTCCTTTGCCTTCTTTAACGAGTTCTTCAATTCTGTACTCATCGACTACTTTTTGACCTGTTTCCAAGAAGTATTCCCAGCTACAGTGTGCCACGGAAGAAAACTTTTCATGCATATCTAGAAGTAAAGCGTCGACAATCGCTCCGGGTGCTGTTTCCAATTCCATATCCAAAAGTTGTGTGCATGTCTCATCAAACGATCCATTCTCGCACTTTTCCGCTGTTCTCACGATCGCTTCCATCACGTTCTTGTTTAAACTGCCACATCCCATCTTCTTCAGACGTGCTCGAACCTCATTTGCGATGTCAGGATCTTCATAGTGAATCAATTTTACAAGAGCATCAAACATGTCTTCAGTGACTGCTCTTTCGCTAATCCTCACAAGTCCTCTGCAAGCACTCTTCTGGACATTTTTATCCGCATGTGTAGTCAAGTTGATCAATGCATTAGCAACGTCTGCTCTATTTGCCACTCTCCCTATTCGACTAAGGGCCTCAACTGAGCTCTGACTTATATTAGAATCTTGATCATGGAGTGTTGCGACCTGAATAAGAGCTCCAATGACCTCGTCGGTTGCTGATATATCATCCATATTTCTAAGAGCTTTACATGCGTTCAGGCGCACTGTTTTATTATTATGTTTCACTGCTTCGACGAGTGTAGCAAGATAATCTGGTAGGGGTTTGGATACGTGTAACGAAGACATAAGTAGACTGGTATTTTCTTGGACATATTTATCTTCCTTTTTATATAAATGTATCAATGTTTTCTGAACAAAATCCAGATTCGGTAGGAATCGCATCCGTTGGAAGGAGCTTCGAAGGTGTTCTGTTATGATTATTGGACGTTTTTGAAGACAAAACTTCAACCAACTCGTAATTTCTTCTATGTATGATGACTCAGGTTTATTCGTCGGTGGAAAACTGCCGTATTCATCGATACATTCCATCAATAGTTTAATATGCCGTAAACCGATTATATCTACCGGTTCACTTTCAATTGCATTCCAGAATGTTGTTACAACTGATTTTACTGGTTTTTTAAATGAAAAAGTAGTCTCATATTCTGAATTCGACACAAGACCTGCAGCAAAAGTAAATACCAAAGAGAAGCGTTGCTCGTATTTATGCTTCTTAATGAAATCAATTGCAGCTTCGCACCTATCAGTGTTGAGATTGTTGATCATATGACGAGCGGTAAAAAACTCTTGGAAACTCAAATGTACGAAGTAGTACTGCAGTTCTTTGTTGCCTCCACTTTCATCAGATTTGTCATCATAAAATTGTAGAAGGCCAAGCTTAACGATTTTGTTGAGATCAGAACGCGTAGTTCTTGTTTCATCTAATGATTTCTCGATTAATTCCGAGGTGATAATGATCTTGTTTGCTTCCATTGCTTCGAAAGCCAATGATTCCATTATTTTCAATAGAGTTTTACATTTTGCGAGTACTTCTGAGTCACGAAGATTTTCATGCGCTGTGTCATGCTGCTCTATGAGATATCTCCGACATAACCACGTTAGTATTTTTTCATAAAGATCAGATATGGTCGATAAACTGGAGTATGAGATACTTTGATCTTGCCAAAGGCTGCATATTAATTCTAAATTCACTGGAATTTGGGCTATACTCCAGATGGTAGGATTTGCGCGAAGGTCATCCAATACTTTTCCTACCATTGTATCACTAATACGTGAATTTTCAGCTCCAGTATCAAAGAAATTCTGAATAAACTTTTCTTTATTTTCGTCTGTGAAACCGGTTATTTCTAGTCTAGTTTCGCAGGGTATTGATATATTCGCCATCGGACGTGACGTAACTATATAGGATTGATTCTTTAGTAAAGCATCGAAAAGCGAATTATTTTTGTTTGATTTGTCCACTGAATATTCATCGTATCCATCTAACATCCACAGCACTCTGCCTTGGTCGCAAAGATTATTGAATTTCTCTCTTTGTCTATCGTTCAAACGTAAAGCTCCGAGATGTGTTTTAGCTAACAAATCGGAAAAGGGCATGTTTCCACGAATTCCGGTCCCAGCATTGAGTAATCGTAGACGAATAAGGAGCACCAGAGCATATTCGGACCAAATCTCCTGATTTGCCCATCGATAAGTGACATATTGACAAAAAGTCGATTTTCCAACACCGGGCCTTCCCAGAACTACTACTTTCTTAACTTTATCTTTACATTCTTGAAAGATATCTTTGACGTCAATGCTTATTTTCTCTCCAAATATTTGTTCGTGTGTACTCATCGTATGCGGATCCGATTTATTGCTAGCTTGCTGTCCTTGGGCGTGTTTTTCGTTGTTTTTTGTTTTTTTATCATCTTCTTTGCCTGCTTTTTCTTTCGTCGTAATAATGGCAAGCTTGATATAACTCTCTTTCATCGAAATAAATTTCTTTCTATCTATTAATCGTTGAATACGAGTGTGTTTCAAATATTCATCTTTAATCGCTTTTATGAAGGTTTCTAATTCATCGCTTTGCCGAGTCGCCTAAACGGTTCAACATTATCGAAAAGTGAAAGAACTTCATACTTCTTTGGATTCAAACTCAGGCTTCTAGTTCAAGCATTCACGCATTACTCAAATGGGTCAATCATTTCAACACTTAATAACTTAGCTAAAATTGAATGATCACTGTCGTTATCGCTGTTACTAGAATGACTCAATTCAAGTTCTATCCTTTACTTATCGAGTCATCTCTGAACTCGTGTTTGAAAACATGTTTCCGTGAAGAAATTTTTAGAACTTTGTTGTCTCACAAAAAGAATATTCAATATTGCTACAGTAAATAACTACCGATGTGAATCGAAATGGGCACCGTTTGATGTCCACTCACAAGCAGAAAAACCTTGCAAGACTCCTATTTTACAACAGTACTATATTGGAATTTCAGTAGTGATTGATTTCCTCAATTTTGGCAACTTCCACAAAAACCCATCATCATTCTATAGATTGGATTATCAAACCTCCTGGCCAACTACAGAAAACTAATGGAATAGTAAAACAATTTGGGGGAATCGAGAAGCGTACACTACTTGTACTCCTTTATGAGAATATGAAGAAAACACAGACATTCACTTTCATCTTAGTGAGGGTCCAGTTCTCTGTAGATTCCTTCCAGGTCTGACTTTATTTTTCGTAGCGTTCTAAAAGTCAAGAAACTCGCCCCATTTGTATTCGTTCGACAAGAGACGTCAAGACCGCTTATTGCCTAATGAGAACAAGAAGGAAATAATTAGATGATAGATAAACGAACCAATGGCAAGTTCAAGGCTCGAGAATGATTGTTTCATCGCAACAGATGCTAACTCAACTATGGACGGTGTTCTCAAATAATAAACACTGCAGGCTAAGCGCAACGCGATTACTCTTTTTTTGAATGTCATTCTATGTGAAAATGTAAGCTGATTGAATTACCTGTCCTGTTAAAGATTCATGAATGCTACGCAGATAAGATGTTTGCTGTTGATGATATTTATTATTTTCTTTATTAATTTTGTGGTCTTCGGTTTTCAACACAACATTCAGAAAATCTCCAAAATCGTTCAATGCTGATTCAAGCATCTTCATCTTCCTAACCAGAGTCTCATTATCAGACTGACTGCACATCCATTTCTTGATAAAAGAGTCATTTCGCTTTTTGATCGTTAGACGAATTTCTTCCAACTTTTCTTCCAGATCTTTTCCTCTCTGTATCCATGATTTCTGCTGGTCAGGCTCCAGTTGCTCGAAAACACTTTCATTCATTTGCGATTCTAGGTAGTGCAGAGTGTTAATCCTCCTTGGAATATCGAAATCAACGAAATCGATGTCGGAGTCGAGTTTATCCTTTTCTTGCTTGAGCTGCTGTAGCTTTTTACCGATACTCGCAACGATTGTGAGCAAATTGCTTGGATCAATCATGTTTCAATGAAGTCTTTTTCTGAAAAAAAGAAAGATAAATCACTTTCATAAATTTAGAATATAGAATTACGAAAGGCTCGTATTCCAAGCACAGTATCATTTTAGTCGTCAGATACATGAGAAGGAAAAGTAAAATTTCATCAAGGAAGAATCGATTAAACTAAAACTTTATCAGATCTTAAGCATTCAATACCCGAAAGGAATAGGCAAGAAAACACAACTACAGTCACTCTAGGTAAATACAAGCCTGCCCAAGGCTGAAGACTAGGCATTGCCAGAGACAAGTGCACACAGTCTCGGAAATGCATATCGGTATGATGGAAATAACAGTCTACACTTGTATCCAAGCTCAAGACTTTTTCGGTTCCTGAAGAGCTCTTCTGAATCCTGTTCAGAAACTAAAATTGAATTTCGTCAATTTAAATTCAAGTTTCGGAAAGATTTGTGTGGCTATTTATTCTAAAATAATAATCTTCTAAAATCTGTTGTGTTATTTCTTCAGAAGAAAGTGTAAGCGTAAGTATAAAACTAGTTATTATAAGGCCCACACTATCCCATGTAACTGTTATTCGGTTCACAACGCGTCCCTGAGCGTTTGTGGGTGATGATGCTGTGTGCGTCAGGATGTGTCTAGAATGCAACATTTTCGATGGTGTAGGCGCTTGAAGACTAGTCTGACGCATCTGCACGCGTTTAGTATCTCAACGGGTCATAACTCGTTTACAATTGAAGACGCGATTGGATGCGTCCGAAATGCAACAATTTTAGGCGTTTGAACACATTCAAAAACCAAAACGCGAGCAAACTCTTCTATATTGCAGAAGGATCATGAGGCGTTTTCGGGTTTTGTTGCCTTCGGATGCAGTAGGAGATAAATGCGTTAAGATGCGTTTACTTTTCGTCCCCAGTGTTAAGCTCTAATATGTATAGAACGAAAGAGACAAGCAGTGTCACTGATGTTATGTGACAGAACGATGAAAAAGATGACCTTCGTGGGAATCGAACCCATACCTTCCGCTATCCGGGCAGATGTACTACCGTTATACTAGAAAGCGCATCTAAATCATCGTCTAGCGTTAGTGTGATCCAACATTAACACTAACACCCAGAAACTTAAAAATTAACCATCATTCTGTATCGAAATCGAATCGATGCACCACAGTGAGCTATGTTATAACACTCAAATCCTGTGACCCACAGAGTGGTGATTTTTCCAACCACAACTTGAACGAAGATTTGAACACACAACTAGCTTTGAGCTAAGAACAACTCGAACTTGTTTCTATATTCATTAATCACATCATTAACTCGGGTCGCTATGGCTGAATGGTTAAGATGTTCGGCACATATCCACAAGATAATGTGTTCAAACCTCGGCGCCATCATCCATAGAATAACCTTGGACAAGTTACTAACGGCTGCTTTGTCTCGGATCACCCATCCGATAGCACGCTGATTACATGTGACATACATAAAAATATCCTCTTGGATAGTATGTGGTTAGTCAGTATGCATGGGAAGCTTAAGTAATTAAGCGGAAGGAACTCTGAGTCAGGCCGGCCTTCTGTCCAGAGCTGCAGCTAGTAATAGTTGTAGGAAAAATATCGGGCTCTTGAAACTGTCTCCGGACAGCACCCTATACTGAAAGGTAGCCGCAAGGCAAGGGTATTCTTTCTTCTTTCTTTCTTTCTTTCATTAACTCGTATAACACTGCTTGGTGCAACTTTGCAAATAGACCTGTTATATTTTCACTTCGGGAAATAAATATAAATAATAGATTTATCGAAAAAAAATCAAGATAAATATATTCCTGATATTTAGAAAAAGTTTTTAATAAAGAAATAAATCTTTTATAGTCAAAAAATAAAAATCATAGAATAAATATAATACGCTCTGTGATGAATAAATGTATAAATATACGGTATAAAGGCATTAATTTGCACTTTTTTCTTATTTACCAGTAACTAAATATCCAATATTAATAAAGTGAAGATACTAGTAGAAAAAATGTTTGCAAATATTCTTGTCTACATTATTTTTTGTGCTTATGATATCAAACGCATTTTAGATATCGTGAGAAGACAAAATGTAAGGTCTTTATTTGAAAAATAAAGCGTCATTTTTATTTACCTTTAATTTTTCTTATGAATCAAGTATTCATTTATTTTATCTTACAAGAAGAAATTTTAAAACGATGTTTACCTTTATGTCTGTAAGTAATGAAACTCCGTAATGTATTTATCTTTTTTGCTTGCATCTGAAAGTTTTATTTCGATTCATTTTATGATAGAACACAGTAAAGGTAAGGTGAGGAATATAGAGTGTCGCCTATGCCCGTCGGCATGATGATGTATTTTTTCATCTGCATATCTCTAGTCATGCATTTCCTTCCATTACAATCCCTTATATACGAGAAAGTGATCACACTTGAGCAAATAGAAACAAAGAGGGAACGGTCATGCAATAGAAAAACGAGAGTTCATCAGGTCAATGCGCGAACATACGGATAAAGTGAGGAGGATAATGTACATGGAGTGAAGTGTAACGGCAAAAACCGTTACAGGTAAGCCAGCAAATCTACTTGAAAAAGCATTTGTGAAATTCAGATAAATGAAATAGTTGGAAATAAAAGTATCCTATTCAAGGGATTCATTTGTTTGCCTAGGAAATAAATGATGAAGTGGCCAATAACATTCAGATTGTAATAGGGCTGTCGGCTTAGCATTAGTATTAGGAAAACACTAATACTTCTGTATTAGTATTAAAAAAATAATTTAATACTTAGGCATTAGTGTTAATTTTGTATTAAGGATAATGCTAATACATAGCATAATTATCTAAAATTATCAAAAATGTATTATTCTATGAGCTCTGTTAAGCGTTATTTCTTTAAATTTTCCACGTGAAAGACTTATTTAAGAAAAATATTATAGTTATGGATTGGTCGACATGCACGCGTTGGAACTTCTTAGACTACAAGTAACTTTTATCAAATATCAATTTTTTGACAAGATTATACATTCAATGCTTTTTTTGAACGAGAACCATAATGTATCGATACTGTCGGTGTGTTTCGCGTTGAAGTGAATAATTATGAACTAATTTTATAGTATGCTAAAACTTTTCAATTGTTTTAGTCCCAATTAAGTAGCTTATCAAAAATATGCTATAGTATATCGGTAAGCAGTTATAGAACGTATAGCAGTATGATTTTAGATAGATAGATTTTTCATGCGTGCTTTTACGTAGCAAATATTAATTATGACCAATTATTCTGGAAGCAGTTCTAGTTCATAACTTTATTAAAGCTAAATACATGAATGCAACTGGTTTGCGCTTTTTCATGTAAAAATCTAAGAATGAAAAAACATAAAGCAATGAATAAAAAAAGAAAAACCCTACGTTATGGTCAAGATAAGAAAAAAACAGATCTAATGCAACATCCATAGTCCATCAGCATTATGACCGAGCAAATGATCGAAGTTTTTCGATAGTTTTTTTCTTTTTTAAGATCATTAGACTACGTAACGTTATTGAAGACGTGGATGCCCGTAGTATATTCTTAATTGCACCGGCCACACTAAATGATTGTTCTAAATACACGGATGAAGCGGGGATCACATTGTACTAACGTACAACCTGACTAAGGCGAGGCAACACAGGAGTGTGATTTCTCCAAAATATTTGAAAATCCGTTGATTCATAGTCACGAATTAAGATCAAAAATGTTGCCATTTCCAGATCAACACTTAGCGGTTGAATATATAAAGGTTGTGAGGCTTTTCTCCTCGTCATATTCATAAAATTGGCTTTATAAAGCATAATCGGAGCTGTATTTGTTGTTGATGATGAATTTCTTGACTCAGTAGTTGGAGATACTGCTGAAGCATCATGTGCTACTAAATCGACTTGCTGCATAAATTCCATGATTAGTTGCTTTGTCGTTTCATAATCGTTAGCATATGGAATTAAATCGGAATGAAAAAGTGGATCAAGAAAAGCTGCTACCTGAAATGAAAGAAATATAAGAGACCAAATTTGGATCACTATACAAAACAACTATCGATTCCAGAGTAAAACACCTTATGCCGTGATACTCATTCTGTAACAGTTCGGCTAGATTCTATTCGATACTTTTTTTCGATAAAACCTCCGAAGTATGTATATTATATTCTGATAAACACTTATTTCTTTTTTGCTACTATTTCAGTGGCTATTCATATTACAAAAAAACATTAATGATGCAAACGAGTGACCAGTCGAATACAAAAATGCTAGTACAAAAATATTTTTATGAAAAAGCATCTTATTTGTCTAATAGTCATTAAATTTATTTTACTGACAAAAGAACTCTTTTTTTCTGCGGTTAACTTAGTTCTATTTTGAACAAAATTAACTTGAGAATTTGAAATATAATGCTCGCTTAAATTAATTTCCTGACTTCTACAAAGTTATTATAATTCTCAGTGTGATTAATTTCGCTAACGTGTTTGGCTAAATTTAGTGGGTTTTAAATTCAGTTCTGAAGTTTTAAACGTCAGCGATTCTCACAAGAACTTTTAAAATAATTCTAAAAACAAACTTCTTACTTTCATTCCAAATTTTTGAGAACTTGGCAGGAATTCATCGAGATAATATTTCGATTGAAAATTTAAACTTTTATTGACAAGAGTATGATAATATGTAGGATTACATGGATGTTGAAAATTTTCATTCAATGATTGAATAAAAAAAGTAAGACATTGCCTACGTTGGATAATCACCAGAAAGAGCAGTTGTTATTTTATCAAATGGATCAAGACAATCACGTAGAGCAGATAACAATTCCCAATCATCATACGTAAATATCAGTGAACGTAGTTTTTAAAGTAGAAATGAGTTATAATGCGTCATTCATTTATAAGAGCAACGCTAATTGTTGAATTCTTCGATAACTTTTAATTAAAAAACGCGAATTTGATAATGTGCGTATCATTATAAGTACAACAAAAACAATTTTAAATTTAGACATTCTATTTTTTTCATTCAAATATAAATTATGTGAATAATCAATTCAGAAATCCCTTGCCATTTCAGAAATCTCTATCGTATTATATTATACGCATATTTTCACGAGAAGCACCACAGAGTTCATTATTTTTTGCTGTACCTAAATTATCAATTTTTTCCATTCGAAAAGGTGAATAATAATAAAAAACTATCATAGGATATAGTTCCATTTCAGTAAAGTTTTTTTCAACAATTTTTGTAAATTGATAAAGAATTGATTGAATTATAAAAGAAAATGAAGATAAAAAATATCATTAACAAGTTGTAGTAATGAATTCTCTCCTTATAAATCTCATACATTCGCAAGAGATGAGATGAATGTCTATGAAAAATAATCTGAAGAAAAAATATTTTTTTTATTAAATCAATTCTCATTATGTCTGAAAAGATTTAATCTTTAAAATAATTCTAAATATAGAACAGAGAATAGATAATTAGTCAAACATACTTTAACGTCAAGTATAAAACCACCTTTGTTTGGACCCAAGCGTTCATAGATAAAACGTTGAAGTGGGTTAATGGAACGAACCATCGAGACAAAGCTACGCACTTTATGTATAAGACGATGGATCTTAATTAGCAAATTAAAAACATCTTCATGGTTCATTGGTTTTTCACTTGGAACATTGGCATCCGTGGCACAAATAAAGTACTCTGCCTAGTGCATATATTCAGAGAAATAAATAAATTCATGGTAACAGATAAAGACAACTCACTGATTGTTGATCAGCAATACCAACGGAGTCTGCTACACCGTCAATTGACATCATTAATGGATCAAATAATATGTCATTGGTGATTTCATCGTCGTCGTCATCAATCAGAGACGTAATTATTGGTTCATACATTGAATCAAATGGATATCTAGAATATTAACAATTAAGAGATTATTACCAAATAAAGTGGGACATGCGAATAAAAACTTTTCATGATTCAATGTTAAGTTAAACACTAGCCATGCTTATAAGCAGTGTATCTACGCATTTATGTAGCGCGAAAATAATCGTTTCTTCCAAATATACCACGGCTTTTATACAGAAAAGAAATTCAAGATAATTCTTTCCAGAGAGAGAGAGAGAAAGAGAGAGAGAGAGAAGAAAATTATTAGAAGATGAAATGATTAAGAACAAGGGATGCGTGTCGTAAAGAAAAGGAAAATATAAAGCATAGGAGAAAAGAAAATATAAGATATAGAATAAAATAAAATGTTGTACTTTAAAAACTAAATTGTGAAGAGTAAAAAAATAAATGTCTACAATCATCGCATATTTTAGTCAAACTTCTATGGTCTGAATATCAATTTGATCTTGTTTAAAGAGTTTAGAACGATATTTTCATCTATTTTCTGAATAAGGTGTTGTTTACCTTTTTAAATTCGGTAGATTCCATACACATGTTCCATGGTGTACCACTAGATTAAGACAATGAGCTAGACAAGCATATCTTCGACCAAGTACACCTGATGACCCTGCTCGCTTTATGTCCGGACCATTATCAGTCGTAATTCCTGTCAAAATACGTGAACCTAATCCAAAACGTTCCTTTTCATACTCAAAAAACAATTGTATATTTGAAGACAATTTTTGTTCATTGAAGCGATGAAAGGATAATGGCAATGACACAAAATCAAAATCGACTGAGAATGTATGCAAAGATAATGATATCATATGGTGACCAGAGACATCTTTCCATACATCACTTGCAAATGCAATTGGTCCAATGTGTGGTAATAATGATTTAAGATCAAGAATATGTTGTTGGTACTGATTTAATAAACGTGAAGATATCGTACGACGATCTGGAGGTTTATACCCCGGTTCAAGTAAATCGAAAAGATTTATTACTGCTTCATGATTGAACAGACTGAAGGGTAAACCACCATCAGTTATACAGTTGAGAACAGCATTGTCAATTTCACGTTTACGTGTTGCCGAAATTTGCAATGTCGATTTTTTATTAATCTTCAAGATTTTTTGTCCTTCTTGTGATGCAAAAGCAAAATTTTTCAATTTGTGAATTATCAAGTGCGATCTTACATTTGCTGTTCCACGTCCAGTTTGTTTTATTATCTTAATTATTAAAATTAAATTATTTGAGTACTTTTTGTAAACTGAGATTCCATTATCGATCCTTATATCGATAGGAACTGAATCTGTTGAATCGTGAAAATAATTCTCTCATATATAAATTAACTGATCAGAGAATCAGAGCTATTTTAGATCTCTAAGACTATAGTTTTAAATACAAGAGCTTGTAAAAATTCTCTTAATCGTCTAAATAAGATTGTGAGTGATGTGTCGATATAATCTTTCTTTTACGAAATTTTCAAATATCGATTTATTATTTCCTTTCTACAAATGGTAATCAAACTGAGGTACCTTTCGCTCATCTGTACATAATGTACATCTGTACGTTGCATCGGCTTGTTTTTCAAATAGTTCATACACCTCCAATGCTGATTTTCTTCCAGATGAAGTCTTCTTTGGTAATGGAGGTTTATCAGTTTCAAATGGAAGTTTACTGGAATGTATATGTTTTTCTTGGCGATTTGACATTGCTGACCTAGTTCAACAATACTTACAGAATCAGATGCAATATCAAATTCTTCATTATCTGTTTCTGTTGGTGAATTATTAATACTTTGTTAGTTATTTATTGATGAGAGAATGATTGACGAATGTAAAGCATTATTATTTATAGAATGCAATTGTTTTCTTGACCGACTATGTTGTTCTAAATTTAGAAAAAGTGTCGCACATAGTAGTATTGTTAAGTAAAAGACAGAATTAAACATGAAAAGAAGATTTTTACAAATACCATAATATTCCTTTCCTTCAAGCGACTTTACTTACGTGAAGATGACTTTGGTCGTCGACGAACAACATTTGATGATGCTGGTGATCGGCTAGATAATGTACCATGTACAATTCGACTTTGTATAGAAGGTCGTGATGATCGTATTCGCAAAGCTTTAGAAAGAGTTTGAGAACGTGGTGGTAAGTTATTAGATTTTGAATGAAAGTCACTATTTTGTTGGTTCATAGCGAAACTAATTTGCAGAAATATTTGTTCGAATGACAACAATTACAAATAAAGCGATCCTTTACAGCCTTCTTATTCTTCAAAGTATACGAGTCAACCACACGAAATAAACAGAAATGAAAACAAACAGACATACCACCATCGATCTTTCTCTCTTAGGCCTAACACAACCTAGTATGAAAGAAGTAAATAGTATTTTCTTTTTACTTTCTTTCTTCTTCCACGCTGCATATTTTCGCTTCAATATCCAATACGAAGTTTACTTCAATAATTTTTATCTTTTATTATTCTGTATCAGCCTTATGGATGAAGTATAAAAGAAAATATCGTTGCTTTTTACCACGCGATCTGCTCCGAATCTGACTACGCTTTGGCGACACTTCATGTAAATACTGCATAAAGATTTAAAAATGAAAGAAATATAACAGAAATGTGAAGTCAAGTGATTACAATTAACAACTAAAAAAGATAATAGCACATGACCCCTTGGTAGTAAAAAAAGACTCGTAATGAATTTTTACATACTTTTCCTGATATTTTTCATGCATTGACTGAACTTTTTAAAAGGATTGATATTTAAAGAACTTTGTTGTAGTTTGAAAGGGCTCCAAAAGCGTTCTTAACATCTACAGCGAAAAACTAGGAGTTTTTTAGATTCGAGAATAAGTTCTGGTAAATATTTTTGAGAATCACAAATTATAATATTCAAAACATTCGATTAATTAGCATTTAGCAGTAAAATTATCGATATTATACAGCGCAAGGTCGAAGTGCACTGATTCAGCGGAAAGTGGATTTCAAAATCCAAAGAGATTCAAGAGCACACGAACATTTTATTCAAACATCACAGTACTGTCAAATGGATGGAAAAAGAAAGAAAAGAAAAATATCAAAAGGGAAAAATATCGGAAATGAAAATGTCGAAAACAAGAATATGAGACGAAATTGAATTTTGTCAGATCGAATTAAAAACGAGGGATATTTGTACTTCAATTCAGTATCATTTTCGACATTTTAAAACATTCAGATTTATGCTACTTTAGTTTTAGATACTTTTATTTTCGATATTTTCCCTTTCTGTCCTTTTCCATCGTACCGTACTGTCGGAAAAGTTGTACAGATTTCTAACCTTTTTAGACAAGAAAAATTTAGTTTTGGAAGATTTTTTCCATTATATTCATAAAATTTTATTTCAGAAGCTCAACTAACTCTACAGAGGACTTTTATCGATGGAAAATGATTTATTAATGATAGGTATTAGAATTATCCTAATACAAAATTAATACTAATGCGAAAGTATTAAATTATTTTTTTAATACTAATACAAAAGCATTAAATTAATTTTCTAATGCTAACGGAAAGTATTAAAAAAAGTATTAAAATAACTTGACACTAATGCTAACCTGACACCCCTAATGAGAATTGAGTATTCTCGTACCAGAATAAGGTTTATAAGCGTAAGTTTGAAAGCGTGTTTAGCAACTAGCGAAGTTAGAAATTAATTCAAATTCTTGTTTATTTGTTTTCTTTGCTGGAAATCCAAAAACTTCCCAACATGAAGATGATAAATTTGTCTTTGAATTTCTAACGACTTTATAATTTGATGAATCATTTTTTAATAATCTTGTAATTCTTTCGGTTGTAAATTTAACAATATTTGATGTAGAACCAGCTGTTGAAGTCGAGGATAATATTATAATAGAAGACGAAGGTGTAATCAGTTGTATAGAATCAGATTGATCAGATGTGTTTTCAACAAAAGATGGTGAACTATTCAAAAACCTAGTATTATCTGAAACGGAAAACAGTGAAATAGTTCAATATCAAAATAGGCCGATTTGCATATTTATGTATTCATTAATCATTTTTTACTTGTGCTAAATGGTTATACACAGGGCAAAGCTACCCAATAGGATTCTATCGGACTTCGAGAATCCCAATGGGATCCTGTCGGAAGTTGTTGGAATCTTTGTCACAGGATTCCGATAGGAAGTCGTCGTATGTTTGAAAGTATCGGAATTCCGGTGTTCCGACAGGAATCAGCGTCATTCCGACACTTTCCAACATCCGACGATTTCCTGTCGGAATTCAGTGACAAGGATTCCGACATGTGCCAACAAATTCCTATCGGATCCGATAAAATCCGATAGTTTTTCCGATAGGTTCCAACAAGATCCGCCAGTCGGATTCATTCACCAGGGTAGTAATCAGCCAATTACAAAGTACTTAGAGTTGACTTGTTTTGATTGCACAGATGAGTACGACATCTATGTCAAAGTAATTGTATGCCGCAAAATTTTAGTTCATTCATTAAGCCATTCTGTTTCGTGGGACGAAACGGAAATTTTTAATCTTATGGGATGGGACGGAAAATTTTTAGTACCATGGGATGGGATGTCAAAAAAATATTTCAGTCCCATCCCATCCCATGGTACACTTTTCAAAAGAGTCCTATCCCATCAGTCCCATGGGATGGGATGGGACCGTCCCGCCCCATGCGGAGCTCTGTTGTACAGAATACTCTTTTGGTTAATATTGCATGTCGATTGAAATCTATCAAATTCAAAATGCCAAACAGTTTTGTAGTGGCTCACGATGCAAGTTTTCCAGCTGATTAATGGCTTTGGAACCGGAAATATGTGCATCATGTAGACCTAAATGAGTTTTGAATCTAATGAAAAGATCGTGGGTTCTTAGCGTATTGCTACTCAGATACTGCATTTTAAGTTGAATCTCGTGGCTCACCTAAGGAATATCAAGAAAACTGATTTTCGAATTTAGGCTAAAAAATATATACTAAAACAGGTCTTAACCAAAGTAGTTCATGGTGAACGTTTCAGGTATTTTGATTTGATTCTATCATGAAATATGAACACCGAATTTTCTGAAGCATTTGCAAAAAAAAACTATCTTGTTTAAGAACTGTTTCTACGAAAATTTTCAAGTCGAAGTTCGAAAATTAATTTTCTTGATGTTCCTGAAGAAGACTATGGTATCCATTGAAGAAATACCGTAAAAGAATAGTAACTTGGGAGAAATAATTCATAACTCATTTTGGTTTACATGATGCACATAATCGCGATTTAAAAGCAATTAATCAATTGGAGGGCTTACCGCTTTAGTTTTGTAGAGTAAAGTTTGCTCTGCAAAGTGTACTAATCACTTCTTGGTTGTATGTTACATGGCAGATTGTAAAACTTGTGCATTTTCTTTTTTATCAATGTCGATTTCCATAGAAAGTGGCTCTTTAGTGGAAACACGTAGATGCTATTTAGCTTTGTACACTCACAGTTTTGTGCTTTTTTCATATAATTTACTGAACCTATATTTGTAAATAGCAAATGAATTCTGAGTCTAGTTATTGTGCTAAGACTTTCACACTATAGGTAACTGTAGTTTTTTTTTACTTGGACAGTAAATTCTTGTCGACGTGTGAAATTTTGTTCATCCATAACTGAAAGTCTTCCAGCAGTTTGGTGTTTATTAAATACATTTAATGGAATAGATTCATTGATTTTAATGGTGGATTATTAGCAAACTTTAAAATAAATTAATAAATAGAAAAGAAAAATAATAAACGTTTTTTCAACGTACTTGAATTCCATCTAAATGATCAATAAATATTTCTTGTACTGTTTCATTAAATAAAGATAACATTGGTTGTTCATCATCATCATCATCACTTGGTGGCAATCGTTTATTATAAACATCATTAAACATAGCTGATAAATGTTGAGCAAGATCAAGACCAGTTTTTGTTATCATTATATTAAGTAATTGATCAGCACGTACAAGTATCATTTGTTTAGATTTTGTCGATGAAACGTCATCTTTTCGTTCTTTCGCATGTGTTACTGATGATTCAGCTGCTCCAGTCAATGGAAGAGCCTTTAAGGGTGTGGGCCTGGATCGGTATGGTCACGCTCCGGAACGTCTTGCATTGATGCACACCCACGCCCACACCCTTCTTAATAAAAACTTTTGCTCAACTGAACGACAATTTTTCCACACTCTTTATGTCAATCTCCAATAACGTGAGATACATTGTCGCACTTTTCGTATATTTTGTTTAGTTTCAGATGACAGTGAGTTTCAATAGAAATTGAGGGTGTTGCACATGGACATCGTTTTTGATTACGCTTACATCCACATTCACTCTCGCACCCTGAAGAAAGTTAGAAAAACACGAGATATTCACAGTGTGCAGTTTAGTTTCTGTTCAATGTGTAATGGAATATTTTTCCATGTTTTTCAATGCAACTCAACAAATGAATGTAAGTGTTTTTGCAGAGAATCATTGTAATTTATATGGCTCTGTCGAATAATTCTTGCACATAAGCATTTGAGACTCAGTTGAATCGGATGTGCTCGAAAAAGACTTTGAATCTTATCATTGTTAGCGTATTGTTCTGGAGTCCCTTTGGCATTAATTGCATCCAAATGCGCTCCAACACCCAATAGCAATTCGAATATTGTTTCTATATCATTATATTCGCATCCCTTTATGCTAAATATGTGCAACGGTGTATTACCAAATGAGTCCATTGCATTTATCGGCGCACCACATTCTAACAATAATTTGACTATAGGTACATATGGGGTTAGAATACGTCGAGAAAAATCGCGTTGATGTACATGTAAAGACCTGTGCAATAATGTTGGCTTTTTTTTGTTCCGCACTACAGTCTGCAAAAATTATTCTGTTAACCAATTGATAAATAGCTTTTCTTCGTTGATCTGCCTTTTCACTTGCCGCTAAGATCTAAAAGCAATAAAATTTAAAGAAATATTTAGAAAGTGTATTACATAATCAAGAAGGAAGTAGAGGAATATTAAGGACTGCGACTCTACTGAAATCGCAGTTAAAATAGTATTTCAACGAAATCGAAGAGCCTTTTTATATTTATTCATGTTTTTCTTGTACTGTTATTGATTTAAAATTTTTACTTATCTCGAACATTATATAAATGCTAGATAGAAAACATGATTGCGTAATAAAGCCATTGTTTTCTCATGAGTTTAGGATATTAATGTACTCCTAGAACTAGATATGTAATTATAGGCATGGCTCGATAAAATAATGAATTAATAAATATTTGTCTTGCTGATTCAAATAAAAAGTAAAAAGTTTTATCTTCCTTACTTTCGTTGCAATGAATAGAAGCTCAAAAATGATATTGACCCGTTCATCCGAATCGTATTCTAGATGGTTATCGCAATCGAAGTATAACATTCTTGTATGAGAATATCTTATTTTCCCGAGGTTTGCTACCATCAACTTTCTGTATCTTATAAATTCAACTATTGCTGCCTCGAATATTGATGTAAATATTGAAAATGGAATTGCTTCTACCATATTGCATTCGGCTAGTTGATACATAACACCAGTACATTTCTCTAGACTCAGTGTAAGTTTGTCTAGATCAATTTGTGCGCTTAATCTGAGATAACATGCGTGTGAGTAAATTTGTAGAGCATGTTCGTAGTCAGTTACATATTTACAAGCATAGCGATCGAGTGAATTTAAAAGTCCTGACGTTACACCTGCTAGTCGCTCACGTATCATGAAGCATTCCAAACGAAATAGGCGTGAATCATTTTGTATTGCTTCTAATTCTTCAACGGTTTGACATTCTTCATAGTACTCATACGCTTTAATTGGAGTTGCCAAATTGTTTTTAAGAATAGGTGCGGCTGTATTTTTGTATCGTAATTGCATGGCTCATAGAAAATATTCCTACTTTGACGTCAAAGACCCTATTAGCTCTAGCTCATCGATACACCGTAAAATTGTATACCAACATTCGTTCTCATTTTCAATAAAATATTTTACAATATCTATGTGATTCGATATATCAGCCATTGTGAACGCAGTTCGTGCTTCATTGTTCTTGACAATTTTTGCTTGATACTTTTCCAACAATAATCGAACAATATTCAAAGATCCCACAGAAGCTGCTACATGTAATGCAGTCGATCCACATTTATCTACTGCATTTAAAAGAGTATGAGTGGCATCGTCTAAGCTTAGCAAATATTCTACTAGTTCATCGTGCTTATATTTACATGCAATCATCAGAGCTGTTGATTCGTTTGTATCTACATTGTATATATCAGCTCCGTTCTCTATGAGATATTTCACCATCTCCAATTGTTCATTTTTACATGCCAGGTATAATGTTGTACACTTTATCTGCCACTCTAAGATTGCACGATGATTAACATTGAGTTTACCCAACGATACGAGTGTACGAACAATATCAAGATGTTTGTATTCAGTAGCAAGACAAAGAGCAGTCTGGTTACAATAAAAATAATCGCTATGATCAAAAGCGTTTTCGGCAAAAATTATTCTCTCTTTATCAATCTGTATATGGTTACCATATTTTTCCAGTAGAAAACGTACGATTGACTCTTGTCCATTAACCGATGCAGCCATTAGCGGAGTTGAGTCTCCTGTTGTACCATAGGTACAATGATTCAAATGACGATCGAGTTCACTTGACTGAATTGAATTTAAAATTGTTTCTAGTTCAACCAGAGAACCATTTGCGCAGGCAATATGGATCTTCTCAGTCGTGGACAGATTCTGATAATCGTCATCCAGAGGCATTGTCTTATTATTGCAAATAACAATGCTATTGATGTATATGTGATATGCGTGTATACAACGAAACGAATAAGTAGCTTATGATTTTATCATTAGATTTATCTACACTTTACCTGTAGTGTGTGGTTCGACTGGGTAAACAAGATAAAAGCTAGGATGGTTAAGACATTGCTTTATGCGTTCTGCTTACACAAAAATTAATGTTTCTGTTGATAACATTTATATTTCGAATTCCAATGTCAAAAACAGAACGAAGATTATGTCTTTGTGTATATAGTTTTCATCTTCTTTTTTTAATTCTTTACAGAAAGAAATAAGCAAAGAGTGTATGCCGGATTCAGATGAATCGGGTGTGGGTGTGGTTGAGAGTAAAAGGATGATTAATACACATCTACACATGCACCCGCATTCACACCCACGCCCAACTAACGGATGGCGCAGATTAAATTGCCGATTTTTCGTAGACCTTTTCTTCAAAATAGACTGAACCAGAAATGTTGGTTCTTATGTTAAAAGAGAGAACATTTCATGTAGATTTTATTGATATGTTCTTTTTTAAATTAGCAAGCACCGTTCTTTTGTAGCTTCAAAAGTATTGAATGGGATAAAAAAAACATGATTTTCTTAGTACTTGACTAAAATAAAATGTCATTTTTATTTGCTAGATAGTTTTCTATACGCTGTTTAAGCACACTACGAACAAATACGAAAACATATTTGCTTTTGAGTCACAAATCTAAAATTTTCGACTTAGTTTTACTACCTTGAAAGTCACCTACAAAATATGCTTGATTCTCTATTTTTGCTGCACTTTTATGACAATGAAAATATTTCAATTTCATCATTTGGTTAGAAAAAAGAGATCAACCCATATGAAGAATAGCATTTTGTAGAGCTTGAAATTCTGCATCTGTCTACATAAAAAGGATAATTTTTGTAAGGCCAAGTTGTGGGTAAATTCTAACAGAAGAGTAGGGATCTGTGAAGCATGAACATCTGTTTGATAGTTATCCAAGGAGAGTACCTAAGTTGATCAAAGCCAACACACCAACAGATACATCGAAAAATTCTACATCTCTTTCTATAATTATGGAATTTTTTCTTTCGATCTAACTGGGCAAAAAGTGATCGTTACACATTTTTGATAGTATAGTTGAGCAAGTGATGTTGTTATGCCATCCAATACTTTTAAATCTACAAAAGAAAGGTGCATACTAATCTGAAAAAGAGCATATCAATAAAATCTACACAAAAGTCTCTATCATTTAGCATAGGAATCAAAATTTCTAGTTGAGTATATCTTGAGCAAAAAGCCTACGAAAAATCGGCAATTTAATCTGCGCCACCCGTCAGAGGGATACATTGGTAAACGAATCTTATATCTATCGTTCGTTATTCATCACTTATGCTTCTATTATATCGTTCGAATTTGATGATGACTGTATTTTACCAACTGTATATAATGCTGATGGGTTATTTTCCTCATCAATCAATTCAGCTGACTCATATCCGAATAAAATTAAATCAATACGACGGTTGTCTCCGTTTACTTAATCAGTTGGGTTCGCAACTCTGTTCATTCGCTATTAGTATTGTATATGTTTGCCTACACGAAGTTGATATTTTCTCTCAAATAACATCGGTAAGTAATATTTCTTAATTTTTGAAATTTCATTTAATTTACTCATTTAGATTTCATGTTTCTATTTGAAAAATTTGACAGTGACAATCTGTCTGAATATTGTTAACTATCAAGAATGTATTGTTCCTCTTCTATAACGTTTCTCAAATATTGAACATTTAGCATTATTATTAGCTATTGATATAACAATAACTACACTAGATCATGTTGTTGATGGATTTGATTTAAAGACAGATATTGTTTCATACGTGGCTAATTTACGTCAATTTAATTTTCACATTCGTTCAATATTAGAAAACGCTTCTCAAATAGAAATTGATACAATTCGTCAAAGTTTTGTGAAACTTCAACAAGAACCTGTTGATTTTTCAATCAAATATTTCAATAATACCTATGGTCAAGGTCAAATCTATTCGCTTCCATTTATTGGCAATCGTCTTGATTTCATTTCAAATCGATTTCCACTCTTCGATATTAATAACACGTTCTCAATAGTTACTATATTATTACTTTTATGATGATGTCAAACCATTCGAAAATCTTTTCTTTGCACGTATCGTTCGAGCTCTACCTCATCTTAGAACACTCGAATTATTCAATGAACTTGAACAATAAGAGAAAACGACAGTGACAACAAAGAATCTTGAGTTTGCTCATTTATCTACATTGATTCTATTCAAAATTCATATAGATTATGCTGAACAATTTCTTTGTTGAGCTCATCTTCCTTGTCTAATCGAACTGACTATTCATAAGAATATATTGTTAACAATAATCGGTCAAGATCAACAACAAGCAAGAAGCAATTGTTCTAAAGTGGAAAGTTTATTAACTTCTGAGAAACTATAATTCAGTAGATGTTGTTCAAAACTCTTCACCACTAGCTTCTCATTCAAAACATTCGTGAAAAAAATTAAAAATAAAATCAATGATTTCTGTAAAAAAATAGCAACTCATTTTCTTAGTAAAGTTTTATTTCTCAAAAGTCAATGGAATGGAAACATTGTAAAGACGTATATTAATTTAAATATAGCAGGAAGAAAAATTTGCCGAATAACCAGAAGAAGAAAATGTTAATATCTTATCGTGTATTCTATTGTTAATATAAGAATTGTTTTAGTAAAGCAAGATAAAAATCAATTGCTTATTATTAGTAATTGAAGTTTCACGAGGGAAAAAGCTCGGGTGTACTATGGACGTAATCATATAAAATATCCATTTATCTTTGAATACATTGAAGAACATTTTATCGTAATAAATCAACGATTTCGATATTTTAGCTGGGAAAGTAGCAAAATGTCGACAGAAAAATGTCGAAAGTAAAATGTCGACGGGAAAATGTCGAAAAGCATAGTGTCGACAAAAGAAAAATGTCGACAGTGCAAAATGTCGACAGAGCAAAATGTCGACAGAGCGGAATGTCGAAAAAAAAAATGTCGACAATTTATAAGAATAACAAAATTGAACTGTGATCAAATTATATTTATTTTTGACTACGTTAAAATTTAATACGCATGAGTAAGAAGAGCAAGATACATGAATATGGAAAACTTCGATACTTTCAGATATCGGCAAGTGAGAGTCATGATCACCTAACTTCCTCATATACTGATCGTTGTGATCGGTATGCATATAAGCCGAGCACCTCTGATCCTTACAACGCCAATACTTGATCTTTGATCGGGTTTTGTTTAATTGATAGATGTATTCATCACAGATCAAGATCGGCTTGCGTTTTTTTCTGGTCGAAAAGCTGAGAACAGGACTGGTTGATATCGTAGAAACACGAGACGCTAACCACACTAGATGAATGAAATGAAATGATGTGTCGATTGTACTAGTATGATGGTGTGCACACGAATGACGGTTATTAGGGAAAAGTGAAAATTTCTCAGTCGAGAAAAAAAGAAGCAAGACGTGTTAAACTCTATATCCAGGCCGCCATGTCCATAAAAAGTATAGCAAGAGAAGAAAATACACGATGGCATGCAATTTCACTGTTTTGTATTATGATAGAAATTTCGACACTTTTTTATGTCGATACTGTGCTTGTCGACAATCTTTGCGTCGACATTTTTCTGTCGACATTTTGCTTGTCGACATTTTTATTGTCGACAATTGTACTTGTCGACATTTGTACTTGTCGACATTTTTCTGTCGACATTTTGCCTGTCGACATTTTTATTGTCGACATTTTTTTGTCGACATTTCGACACCTCACCTTTTAGCTTTATGAAATATTAGATGTGAGAACGATTCGCTATAATTTATTTGCTGAATTATTCATGCAAACTATATTTTCGTAGGAGTGACGTGAGTCGATGCAGTATTCAATGATTATCAATTGAAAAAGATTATTATTTCCAAACGCTTTTTTTTTATAGATTTTGATAGAGAAAAAAATAGCCTGCATCGAAGGAGTTCATTTCTAACGATTCTTAAACGAGTATTGATGATGTTTTATGTCAAAAAAAGTACTTTTTAAGCGTTCCGAAAATGTCTAAGATGTTACTTATTACTCAACTAGTTTTGAAAAAAATGTGATATTCGCAATCAGCATAATTTGGAATTCATCGATCTATAAAGCCTGCAAATGGAACAAATACAAAAATATTTTTGATCGAGTGTGACATCGTCCTATCCGAGTCAATTAAGATAGATCAATTCTTCTAAATGTGCCAATGATTGATTGTTCAATATCTTTAGCTAGAAATGAAAATTTTATGCTTAAATAAAGAAGAATTGTTACCCACACCTAGCATTTGGAGTATATACCCTGATTTTTGCTCGGTGACCGGTATTGAAAATACTATCATTGGATGGAGAATAAAATTCTGCACCTAACACAAGCAAGTAGACAGTCAACACAGATTCATAGGCGAATCGGGACAGGAAAAACTCGAATCTGGTGCTAACATTACCTACGTATTATAATGTTTTTGAATTATACATGATCAAGACGGTTTATTCAACTGCTTGTCAATCTCTTTGATAGGATGATGTTTTTATATGGATATCTTGAAAAATCAGGTACAATCTATAAAAGAAACTAATCATTTTCTATTGTGACAAGAACTAATGATTCCATCTATCATTCTAAAGAAAGAAAACTGAGTTATCTATTATTTTTTCAAAGTGTTAATGTGAATAGGGACAAATTTCTCTATTTTCTTTATTTACTGTGGATGCTGAAATAAATAGAAGGAGAAACTTCGGGATTTCAGTCGATCTCAGAATAAAAAAAAATCTCATAATAGTGGATATAGGTACGTTCTTTTCATCCAGTAAGAGTTTGTTTAATTATATTAAAATCTAAGTCCTCCAACAAATCACCTAGTCGTATGTGAAATATTAAGCTTTTCTCTTTTCAACAACTCACTTTCATTATTCAGATGTCCATGTAGAAGTGTCGTTGCATATAAGACATTCGTAACTACAGTAGTTCGACGATTTCGATCCAATCATGTACAATGTCATAGAATTCATATTGTGCTACTTTTTGAACGTTTGTCATTTATAAACAAGAGTCGACTCAATAAAGTATTGCTTCTCATATCGAACATGTGACAACAGAGATTTTATATTGGCAATGCTTTCACCATCATCAAGCAAGGTAAGTTGGATTCACTTATCTACTCGAATATTCAATTCGCCTTGGTTCGTCAAGAATTTCAACTCAGTCAAAGTTTCTGCATTTTCATTTTTCAACAAATGTTTCTCGTCATTCTGAAAAGCTAAACCATCGAGAACGGTTTGTTGCGTTGGATCGATGGGAATTTTCTCATGATTATACTCTTTGATGAACAGATGAATAGAATAAGTTTAACGTACATCTTAACCATCGATGAACATTTCATTGCATTGAGGCTTATCGGCTTCTAGAAAATCAATGATAGCGTGAAAGTATTTAAGAAAACATTTTCTTTACGATCAGATTGTTTTTTTTTACCTAGATATAGTTTGGGAAGATACATTGTTAGCAAAAGATTACCAGCTTATTATCTCGATGTTGATATTATCCGACACGGTCTCTCAATAATAATATTAATTATTCTTCTTTTACGTCATGCTTTGAAAATGTTCGACGTATTACTGAAGTTGTCAAAGTATTTGCTGATGCCGAAATCATTCGTATTCTTTCCTATATCAATCTACTAGAAGAAGTATTAGAAAACAAGAATATTGTTGTTTAATTAACAATAAAATGTACAATCACTGTACCTCTTTTACCACAAGAGTGGAACAAGATAAGAGTCAGTCTTTCTTATCTTTCTTTATTGAAACACAGTAAGGAGAAGATACAGTTATGTCATAGATTTATTCATGAAGAGTTCATCAATCAAGTTAACACTGAATTAACTCCATCAAAGCGATAATTAAGACAAGTGTTGATTACGGTTTGGACTTATTTAAGATCGATTTTGCTGATTCGCTTCATAAGTGAACCTGCAGCACTTAATCAAGACCTTTAGTTCCGCTTAATTTACATTTCGGAAGTTAAGAGAGACGTCCAGATAGGAATCATTCACCACGATGAATTTGATAATAATGTTGTGTATCAACTATTTCATTACAATCTAAAACCAGTAAATCGAGATTCTCAAAAGGCATTCTCCTTTACATATATATCACAAGGAACGAGTGTCAACAATTCAAAAATGTCAAATATAGTGATCTTAGATCGTTATGAGATAGAGAATACACATCACCATTCAACTCAGCGTGATGAATTACTCCTATCTGCGCATCTATACAAGTTTTTCAGCATAAAATGGCCGGTATTAAGACTTGAAAAAGCACAACATGTTCTGCCAAATGCTCACGGAAAGATTTATTGAGAAAAACCGCGATTTTATACATCTAGGCCGTGGTATTAAGTATCGAAGTTTCTCACATTTTCATAAGTCCGTAGTGAACTTGCTTTTAATCGCAGTATCTGATATCTGAGTTTTAGAGAACTCGAACATCACGACGAATTTAATCAGAGTCACACTCTACCATGGTCATCTATCTGAAAGACGGATTTTGGTGACATTCTATTTCATAAAATCGCAGCTTCGGCGCTAAAATGAATATATAACTAATATTATCTTTATTGATTTTGTATCACACTTAGTATGGCAGTGTTAGAATGTGTAAAGGCGGAAAAAATATCGTGCCCTCCTTTTTTTTTACGATCTCTAATGTTAATTTTTAACATAACTTGGTCACTGCAAAGTGATTTTGAAGTAATGGAGCTCAGCGGTAAGGATGTATGTACAGGTGCTACGAATACTGACGCCGGCCTCACATTCTCTTATATTTTCAAAAACTCTTAATCTGAGACCAGAATTTTTCTTATTACTTCAACTAATTTTCGTCAAATTATCAAGCTAATGTTATGCTTTGCGTTGATTAAGATTACATTGTACCATTAGTGAAGCAATTACGTGCCAATCCACATATGATTTTTCCTGCAGTTGAATAAGTATTGAAAGTTTATTTTTCATTGATTGTTGAGAATTCTATAAAACCTATC